GCACACAGGAAAAGAATATCAAAGTAAAAGAATGAGTTTGGATGCCCACCAAGACTCTGAGAATCACTATGTGATTTAAACTCCTTGGACTGAAGGTACTAAGATTCCTAAGATTTTCCAAAGTCAGTTCTAGACAAGGATCCACAAGCCACTCATTGACTTGCACAGTCCTTCAGAGATTGTTAAGCTTTTAACTTCCAGCAGTATTGAATGGTTGAAGTCACTACTGTAGATATTTACACCAACTATTTCAATAAATTATCATTTGTTAAAAAAAATGTGTGATACGATCATAAATAATCTATGAGAAAAATTGATTGTTCCATGACCTTTAACAATTTTTGTTGAAACATTAAAAACTCTCACTGTTGGTTACAAATGTATAAGGAAATGAAAACATTAGCAAAAGTACTATTTTTTTTAAGTTTTTTAATTTATTCATTTGAAAGAGAGAGAGCGAGCAAGCAAGAGTATGAGCAGGGGGAAGGGTGAGAGGGAGAGTGTGAGAAGTAGACCCCCCCACCCCTGAGCAGGAAGCTGATGTGGGACTCGATCCCAGGACTCTGGGGTCATGACCTGAGCTGAAGGCAGACACTTAACCGACTGAGCCATCTAGATGCCCTAATATACTATTTTAAAACATCAGAAACATTGAGAATTAAAGTGGTGTTTTTTTTTTTATTTAAAAAAACTTACCAAGGGCACTTTGAATTATTTCCTCCTTCTCATGGTATAATTACAATACAGAGCAAGCATCTTTTCCATGCCTTAGTGAACTGTCATATTCCTTTCTTCTAAGTTTGCATTACCTTCCATCACTTCATCCATTGTGCCTTCAAAGTTGTGAAGTATTTCTCAGAATTCTTTCAATGTGAAGTTTTCTGATAGTGCCACTTCCTGGGGGACAACTTCATTCTTCTCATCACAACCACTTTCCTCATTGATGTTGATAAGTTCACCTTCCCCAGGTCCCCAGATTCCTCTGGCTGCACATTCAGAGTCTCTTGAACGTCTACCTTTCCACAAGCAGAGGTTTCTTCCATGATTTCATTTATGTTTCATTCAAATTTCATTTCCAGCATTTTCACTTTTTATTTCATTATTGCACTTTCACCTCTGTCAATTTTCTCTCTCGATTTTCCATTTTTGTAAAATATTATGTGGATTTACCACCAGGTAAGAAGGAGACAACTTAACTATCCGCTTGGCAGTCTGTGTGTAAAGTGAATGACAGATGTGTAGTGACCAATCAATGAGACTTTGAAAGAAGTGATGTGATTGGTAACAGATCATGATATATGTCTGTTATTTATGTGGTGATTTGTGAATTGAAGGGCAGGTAGCTATTACTTTATGTAAGTACTCAAATTTCAACTCCTGTGGTAATTGGAATTTAAACCATGTTGTTAGGGGGACTGAGGTAATTTAAACCACAGTAACTGAAAGTCATGCATATAGGAACTGTGTAAAGTGAGGTCTGCCTGTCATTTAACTCATTATTTTAAGACTTTTCTACTAAGACAAACTAATTCAGAGTACAGTAAAAATGTGCATGCATGCTTAAGATGAAATATGAAACTTCAATGAAATTGTGTTCTTCACCTGCAGATTCCCAGGTAGATGAGGTATTCTCTGTCATTAGGAGACTTTAGTGGTAAAGTTTGAGAAGCAGAGCCTTATTATGGGTAGAATCATCCAATACGTTACTTGGTCTAAGCTGGCCTAAGAAAAAAGTTGATTAGTATAGGCAGGTGACTTAGATGGCACCAAGGAACACATTATTAATAAGATATACATTATTTCCTGTGAAGATGAAACAGGTATTTTCCACTATCTTTCTAAACTTCCTAAAACTTCATGTAGGTAGCTTTGTTCAAGTGACAATGAGTGAGGGAACTTGTGAAGGAGGAGGAAGGGATTTAAAAGTACAGAGCTTTAAAAGTATATGCTCATTTTCCCCTTACATCCCAAAGTCCAAATGCTTACTTAGGATAAACAAGACTTTCTTCCTATTCCCTCAGAAGATTTAAAATTGTTTATGACAAAAGTATAAGTATAATAAGACTAAACATTTCCAAGATAAAAACTAAATCTAGGGGCGCCTGAGTGGCTCAGTGCGTTAAGTGTCTGGCTTTGGCTCAGGTCATGATCTTAAGGTCCTGGGATCGAGCCCCGTGTCGTAGGGCTCCCTGCTCAGACTCCTTTCTCCACCTGCAATTCTGCCTGCTTCTCTGTCTCTGCCCCTCCCCCTGTTTGCGCTCTCTCTCTCTCTCAAATAAAGAAATAAAATCTGGGGCGCCTGGGTGGCTCAGTTGTTTGGGCGACTGCCTTCGGCTCGGGTCATGGTCCTGGAGTCCCGGGATCAAGTCCCACATCGGGCTCCCTGCTCAGCGGGGAGTCTGCTTCTCCCTCTGACCCTCCCCCCTCTCACGTGCTCTCTCTCTCTCCTTCTCTCTCTCAAATAAATAAATAAAATCTTTAAAAAAAAATAAAATAAAATCTGTAAAAAAAATAAAATTGAAAAATAAAATTAAAATCTAGTGCAGTGATGAGAGAAAAGATAAGAATTAACATGGTTCATTATGTATTTTTCTGGGGATCCATTATTAGCATTATAGGAAGAAATCTAGGAGAAGAGTTAATATGTTCTCGTTGCAAAATACGTTTGAAGGCACTGGAAAGAATCTGAAGGGGAAGATATTTTCTCCTGTTAGGTGAGAGATCCAGTCTAAATGTAAGGAGAGAGGGTAAGAGGGGATATAGAAACAAAAAATTTCTAGCTGCTACTATACATCACAGCATGTTAAATACCTTTCCTATTTTATAATGTTTAATTGTGATTAAAACCCTGAGATGTAGGTATCAAATAATGCTATTTTTACATCTGAAAAATCTGAAGGTCACCAAGTTAGAGAGTTTGGAAAATCCAGATTAACTCAATTCTAACTCCATTCACAGGTAATATGCCAGATGTGTTACTACGTAAGAGTAAACATGAAAATGGTGGAGTTTGATTTATATTCTTGCCCTAATTTGAGAGCTAACTTCCTTCTCCTTAGAAGGATTTTTGCCTTCATAATGATTCTGCCACACATTGCTTGAAGTTTTCTCAGAATCCCCAGGCACAATGAACTCTTCTTCCTTTGTATTTCAGTAACAATTGTACAGACCTCTATTAGAGCTTCACCATGATTTTCATTTACATGGTTAGAAGCCATCAAACTGATTTCAAAATCTGCAGACAAGGCCACAAGTAACTGGTTAACTTCTGCCTGCTTTGGGTTCAATTCACTCTTCTTTCTCTAGTATCTTAAGGTAGAAGGTTAGGCTACTGATTTGAAATCTTTCTTCTTTTTTAATGTAGATATTTACAGCTATAAAATTTCCCTTCAACCACTGCTTTAGCTGCATCCCATAAGTTTTGCTCTGTTGTGTCTTCATTTTTAGTGATCTCAAAGTATTTTCCAATTTTTCTTGTGATTTCTTCTTTGACGCATTGCTTATTTAGGAGGCTGCTATTTAATTTCCATGTATTTGTCAATCTTCCAAATTTCTTCATTAGTGATTTTTAAATTTACTTTACTGTGGTCCAAGAATATACTTGGTATGATTTCAATCCTTTTAAATTTATTGAGATTTATTCAATTTCCCAGCATATGGTCTATCTTGGTATATGTTCCATAAGCATTTGAAAAGAATGTGCATTCACCTGTTGCTTGAGAGAAGACCTTTATAAATGTTAATTAGATCAAGTAGGTTGACATTATTTTGGTTTTCTATATCCTTATTTATTTTCTATTCCATCAATGATTAAAGGAGGGGTAATGAAATCTCCAATTTAATAGTGAATTTGTCTACTTCTCCTTTCTGTTTTGACAGCTGCTGCTTCATTTATTTGGAAACTCTGTCCCTGGGTGCCTATGTATTTATGATTATTATGTCTTCTTGAGGGATTGATCCCTAAAGATCATTATGTACTGTTGCTCTTTATCTCTGTTAATACTCCTCATTCTGAAGTCGACTTTGATATTAAAACAGCCACTCTACCTGTCTTTGTTTAGTGTCTGCATGGTGTATCTTTATATTTAAAGTATACAGCTGACCTTTGAACAACGTGGGTTTGAAATGCGCAGGCCCACTTAAATGCAGATTTTCTCCAATAGATACAGCACAGTACTGTAAATGCATTCTCTTTCTTATGATTTTCTTAGTAACATTTTCCTTTCTCTAGCTTACTTTATTATAAGAATATAGCATATAATACATTAAAAATACAAAATATGTATTGAAATCAACTGTATATGTTATCATTAAAGCTTCCAGTCAACAGTAGGCTATTAGGAGTTAAGCTCTGGGGGAAAGTTATACATGAATTTATGACTGTGGCAGTGGGGGACGAGGTAGTCAGCACCCTTAACCGCCATCTTGTTCAAGGGTCAACTGTAGTCAGGTTTTGTTTTTTAATCACTCTGATATCTTTTAATTGCAGCATTTAGACCATTTATATTTAAAGTTATCATCAATATGATTGGGTTTAAATCTATTATCTTGCTATTTGTTTTCAGTTTGTCCCATCTAGTCTTTGTTTCTTTCTTTTTATTCTGTTTCTTTTTTTAAATCTTTTAGATAACCTGGGTATTTTAAAAAGATTGTATCACCACTGCTGGCTATTAGCTATGCCTCTTCATTTTTTTAGTGATTACTCTATAGCAGGGGTTGACAAACTATGGTCCATGATGAAATCTGGCTTGCTGTCTGTTTTTGTAAATAAAGTTTTCTTGAAACATAGCCACCATCCATTTGTTCAAATACTCTTTATGGTTACTTTCATGACACAGAAGCAGAGCTAGGTAGTTTTAACAAAGACCATAAGGCCCACAAAGCCTAAAATATTTACCATCTAAACCTTTACAGAAAAAGTTTGCTGACTACTGTTCTATGGCTTAAATTTAAGAATTAAGATCCAATAACAAAATTCAATTCCTCTGACAATTACTCACGTTGTTTTCTTGGTTCTTGTTGTTCTTCAAGAGTGTAATAATACAATTATGAATAAAGAAAGCAAGGGTAAGCACTCCAGTCAGCTGTGGAAACTGAAATCTTATCTCTAGGAGAAAAAGAGAGTGAAAAAAAAAAAAAAAAACCACAGTACATTAAAACTGACAGCCAGAAAACGAATGTTAGTAGCCTAAAGTTGACTGCCAAAAATTAGCTGCCTCTGCTTTATCCAGGGAATATTAAAATGTCTTTACAAAGTTCCTCAAGGCTTGAACAAAGTACTTGAGCAAAGTACTTGAAAAGGGAAAGAAAAGGAATTAAGAAATGGCTACTCTGTGAGGGTACTTCACATCAGTTAATGCTGTTTGAGGTCACACAACTACTGTGTGGCACAGCAGGTTTCAAATTTAGAACTTTAAAGGTCTTCCTCTTCTAATACTTGAATTTGCCAGAAAAATACCTTTAGAAAAGGAATCAGAAAAGGGAGAATTGGTCATTTAACATTTTTCAAAGGCTAATGTAAAAGGCACTGCTTAAAAATACAGAAATAACAAATGTCTACACAGAGGGCAATGGTTAAACTAGGATATAACTGCTCTGTGGTATACAGTACATAAGAATTATGTTCTAAAGAAAGGTTTTATGCTATGGCAAATGTTAATGACTCAAATAGCATGTATAGTATGATTTTACATTTATTTTTAAAAGTTTGTGTGTGTATATACATACGTATGTATGCTAAGAAAAAAGATTGGAGGGATAAAAGTTTAAATAGTGATTATCTCTAAATTTTCTATAATAAATTCAAAGTTAATATGAAATAAGAATAATAAAATAATAAGTATTTCAAAAGCACTGCCAATTTCTGTCTTTGAGGTTTGCTAACACAAAAATGAAAAACTGCTTTTATGTAGAATAAGACCAAGATTTACATGAAAACAGTGCTATATCTAGGCAAAGTAGGTGGCAAAAGTGAAGAACAACCTGTCTCAGGGGATTCCTTAGTTAGAAAAGAAAGTCCACTGATTTTTGCCATAGTATTTAGGAAAGAAAATAAGAATAACTAAGAATCAAGTGCTGGCTCTGAAATAAATTAGGATGTAAGAGTTTAAAAATTATATACTTAAGTTTTCCATTAAGTTTTTGTTGTTCTATTAGCTTTTTTTTTTTTAATATTTTTTTATTTATTTCTTTGACAGAGAGAGACACAGCGAGAGAGGGAATGCGAGAGGGAGAAGCAGGCTTCTCGCCGAGCAGGGAGCCTGATGTGGGGCTTGATCATGACCTGAGCTGAAGGCAGCTGCTTCACTGACTGAGCCACCCAGGTGCCCCGGTCTATTAGCTTTCATCTAAATTTTTATTCACAAAGCAATTCAAAGTCTATTTTTCTAGGGTGCCTGGGTGGCTCAGTCAGTTAAGTGTCTGACTCTTGGTTCAGCTCAGCTCATGATCTCAGGGTTGTGAGATCGAGCCCTGTGGTGGGCTCTGCACTGGGCATGGAGCCTGCTTAAGAGTCTCTCTCTCCCTCTCCCACTGCACCCCCCCCCCCGCCCATGTACACATGCTCTCTCTAAAAAAAAATATAAAACAAAAAAATTTTTCTCAGGAAAAATTTCCCCTTTTCTGTCTATAATCTTTTAACTTTTTTTTTTTTCTACATCTAAGCAATTAAATAAAATGTGGGGGCAACTCCCACTTCTGTTTAAAAAATAAAAATTCTAAAACAATTTATTTTTAAGTAATCTCTACACCCAACATGGGGCTTGAACTTACTTCGAGATCAAGAGTTGCACTCTCTACTGACTGAGCCAACCACAGCCCCCCTGCCAAAACCAACTCTTAATACATTGGGCATATAAGGATACATAGATCACTTCAGATCAATAATCAGAATTATATTTATATAATATTAAGAGAGGTATCATTTTTGGAAATATGATAAATTATTTACATGACTTTATTCTTTGCAGAACAATAACTGAAAAACTCTTTAGTAAGAATTCAAAGTTATCAAATCACAAAGGAAGAGAGCAAAAGAGAAAGAAAGGAAAAAAGGAATTACAAAACAACCAGAAATCAATTAATAAAATGGCAATATTAAGTCCATACCTATCAATAATTACTTTTTTATTTTATTTTATTTTTTTCTTGTGCACATCCAGGATGATTTCCTTGGGATGACTTTCTAGAAGGAGTATTTTTTTTTTAATATTATGTTCAGTTAGCCACTGTATATATCAAAAATTCTTTTAAATGTAAATGGACTAAATTCTCCAACCAAAAGAAAAAGAGTAGCTGAATGGATAAAATAACAAGACTCAACCAGATGTTGCCTACAAGAGACTCACTTCAGCTTTAAGGACACACACAGACTCAGAGTGAAAGGCTGGGAAAAGATATTCCATGCAAATGTAAACCAAAAGAAAGTAGGGCTATACGTATATCCAAAAAAAAAAATAGACTTTAAACCAAAGACTGTATCAAGAGACAAAAAAGGTCATTATATAATAATAAAGCGATCAACTCATCAGACATTTGCAAATATTTATGTTCCCAACATAGGAGCACCTAAGTACATAAAGCAAATATGAACAGATCTGATGGGAGAAATAGACAGCAATATAATAATACTAGAGGGCTTCAATATACCACGTTTAACAATAAATAGATCACTCAGACAGAAAATCAATAAGGAAAGATTGAACCTAAATGACACGTTACACCAGATGTACTTGATAGACATTTACAAAACACTCCATCCAATAAGAGAATACACATTCTTCTCAAGTGCACATGGAACATCTCCAGGATACATCACATGTTAGCCCACAAAGTATGTCTCAACAAATTTAAGAGAACTGAAATCATACCAAGCATCTTTTCCAACCACAATGGTATGAAACTAGAAATCAATTACAGAAAAAAAAACTGGAAAATTCACAAATATGTGGAGATGAAGTAACATGTACTGAACAACCAATGAGCCAAAGAAGGAATCAAAAGAGAAATCAAGATGTTGAGACAAGTGAAAATGGAAATACTTACCAAACTTAAAGGATGAAGCAAAAACAGTTCTATGAGGTCAGTTTATGGTGATAAACATCCACATTAAGAAACAAAAAAGATCTCAAATAAACAACCTAACTAGATGCCTGGGTGACTCAGGCAGTTGAGTGTCCGACTCTTGATTTTGGCTCAGGTTATGATTTCAGGGTCCTGGGATCGAGTCCCATGTTAGGCTCTGCACTAAATGGGGGGTCTGCTTGAGGATTCTCCCTCTTCCTCTGCCCTTTCCCCCTCTTAAGCTCATGCTCGCTTGCTCACTTTCTCTAAAATACATAAATAAATCCTAAAGAAAAAAACCAACTTTATACCTCAAATAATAATGAGAAAAAAAGAACAAATTAACCTAAAGTAGAAGAAAGGAAATAACAAAGTTGAGAGCAGAAATAAATGAAATAGAGACTAAAGAGACAATAGAAAAGATTAACAAAACTAAGCTGGTTTTTTGAAAAGATAAAATAGATAAATCTTTAGCTAGATTAAACAAGAAAAAAGAGAGAGGACTCAAATGAAAAAAATTATAAATGAAAGGGGAGACATCACAACTGATACCACAGAAATACAAAGATTTATGAGACGACTGTAAACACTTATACGCCAACAAATTGGAAACCAACAAATTGGACTTAGACACCAAGAGATAGATACATTACTAGAAACATACAAACTACCAAGACTGAATCATAAATGGAAAATAAGAACAGACCAATTTCTAGTGAGGAGATTGAATCAGTAATAAAAAAATCTCCCAATAAAGAAAAGTCCAGGCAGGACCAGGTATCTTCACTGGTGATTTCCAGCAAACATTTGAAGATAAATTAATACTAATCCTTTTTAAACTCTTCCAAAAAATAAAAGAGGAGGGAACACTTCCAAACTCACTTTATGAGGCCAGTACTACCCTGATCCTGATATCAAATTCAGGCAAGGACACTACAAAAAAAGAAAATTATAGGCCAATATCCCTGATGAACATAGATGCAAAAATTCTCAACAAAACATTAGCAAACTGAATTCTATACCATGATTAAGTGGGATTTATTTCAGGGATGCAAGGATAGTTCAACATTCACAAATCAATCAACGTGATAGACCACATTAATAAAACAAGGGATAAAAATCATATGATCAGCTCAATGGATGCAGAAAAAGCATTTCACAAACTCCAATATCCATTTATGATAAAAACTCTAAACTGGGTATGGCGGGAATGTACATCAACATAATGAAGGCCATGGCCAACATCGTACTCAACAGTGAAAAGCTGAAAGCTTTTCCTCCAAGATCAGGAATGAGAGACAGGATGCCCACTCTCACCATTCTTATTCAACACAGTACTAGAAATCCTCGCCACAGCAATTAACCAAGAAAAAGAAACAAAAGGCACCCAAATCAGAAAGGAAGAAGTAAAACTGTCTCCATTTGCAGATGACATTATATTATATATAGAAAACTCTAAAGACTACACCAAAAAACTTACAACTAGGGGCGCCTAGGTGGCTCAGTTGTTAAGCGTCTGCCTTCGGCTCAGGTCATGATCCCAGGGCCCTGGGATCGAGCCCTGCATCAGGCTCCCTGCTCTGCGGGAAGCCTGCTTCTCCCTCTCCCACTCCCCTTACTTGTGTTCCCTCTCTCACTGTGTCTCTCTCTGTCTCTCTCTATCAAATAAATAAAATCTTAAAAAAAAAACAAAACTGTTACAACTAATAAATAAATTCAGTAAAGTTTCAGGATACAAAATCAATATGCAAAAATCTGTTGCACTTCTATACACTAACAATGAACCATTAGAAAGAGAAATTAAGAAAACAATTCCATTTACAATAGTATCAGAAAGAATAAAGTACTTAAGAATCAATTTTAACCAAAGAGGTGAAAGACCTGTAAGTTGAAAACAGTAATGAAAGAAACTGAAGACGACACAAATAAATGGAAAGATATTCCATGTCCATGTTTGAAGAATTATTACAGTTAAAATGTCCATGCTACCCAAAGCAATTCAATGCAATCCCTATTAAAATCCAACGGCATTTTTCAAAGAAATAG